CAATATCATTTATTTCAAAGTCATTCCGACGTTTATATGTAATCTCTTCGGAAATATAAGAAATTATTCCCTACCCTTCCCATTTGATCTATCTCGTCTCTCGCAGTTATAATTTCGTATGTAAACGTAATCATTATTAATATTATCATTTAAGAATGTCTCACATAAGCCAATGATTTTTGGTGATTTACAATTGTGTAAAATATGTTTAATTTCATCCAACTTTGGTAATAAATGTTGTATATTGAGACTGGCAATAACAAGTCCGATTCCATCAAAAAGTAATGAGTTGGCTACTGAACTTTGTATTTCTGTGTGTTGTTTAGTTGTTTTACATACATGTGTGTGATAACTTATTAATAAATTGTTTTTCGGATGATTATTAGAACGAATGCGGCCCTCATGAGTGCATGTAGTACATGGCGTTTCTAACAATAGCTCGAAATTATTTATAATATTCGATGTTTTATCTTTACAATTCATATTTTCATCTAAAACATTTGTTATATATATTGGAGAGTTTGTGATATTAAAAGATCGATTTACACATAAGCATTTATCCAATACTATTTTGCATTTAATACATGTCTTATTTTTATTATTAAGTGAGATTTGAGTTTTCGAAATAGTTTCATTAGAACCGACTGATATATTAGTTTGAAAATCGCTATAAAGATCTTGTTTTAATATAGATTTATGAGTAGTTACCTCATTATGAATACAATTGCATGTTTCAAATTGTTGATTTTCAAAATTTGAGTGCCTGTCGGATATTTCCTAATTCCTATTTATTCTGACGCTATTCTGTCCATAATAATAATTTTCACTTACGGATCTTCTGTCGATCTCAAATACACTTCCGGTTCTGGTGTGGCGAAGGGTATTATTAAGTGAAGTTTCACTCCATGAAGTTTGGTCATAGTACCTAGGTCTAAAAAAGTTGTGAACCTTTTCATGTCTGTTTAAATTATATTTTCTGTATTTTGGACTGCCTGCAACTGAGTTTTCTTTTCCATTGTATCTCGCTCGCATTTCTCCCTTATCATTATTCATTTTCCTTTTTACGATGTATACGCACCGATTTATTGCTGCCACAAGTGTTTTGAATCCATATTTATTGTGATGTATCAATAGTGCTTCACTATGCTACCATCACTATAAACGAACGATGAATATGTGTCTATAAGTTCAGCACCTGTTTTAATACAGATGTCCCTCATATTTTCGAGTCGCGGCGAAATCGTGCAGAGATGCACTTTACATTTGTGATGTAGAATAGAGCGAGTGAGTTCTAAGAGTTTTGAATGTGACGCATCAGGGCGTTTTCCTAAACTGACGTCATTTCCCCCGACAAAAATAATTACGTGTTGATATCGTGTCAAATCTAGTTGGTTGATTTTACGTCCGATGTCTGTCAGAATGGCACCGCTGCATACATATCGATCGACCTTTAGGTTGTATTCCTCTAACGATGGAGTCACCAATCAGAAGTGTTCGGTCCCTATTTGGAAAAAAGCCAGATTTTTGAGAATTTCCCTTCATTGTTGAATTAGAAGACCCAATAATATTAGTATCGTAAATTGAAAGCTGATTAAAGAGAGTATATGTTGTTTGTTCTTATTCATTTCAGTCAATTAAAACCATTAGATTATGATTCATACACATTTTGACCAGTTTTCAATGACTTTTGGTGAACATTTAGCAGGTCTGGAATTAATTCTAAACGTTGTGTTTTGAATTGACTCAGTGACATTTAAGTGTGGAGTATTAACCCATGTATTCATTATTCAGCGCCATGAAAATATCCATGGTAGTGACTAGCAAAGTGCTTTTGATACTTCTTGATTCAGTAGCTCAATGTTAACAATTCTTGATTTCTTGGTGATATGCTGGTCTCTGCATATCATTTTCAAGGATATTAACGTCCCTTGATTACTTAAGCTGTACCGACATAACAGTGTTTCAGTGTTGGTTATTCTTCTGACAGTCATTGCTGACCAGGCTATAAAATTTTAACAGAAAATCAATACTCAATTAAATTATTTGCGCAAGAAAATTAAGCGAAAAAGGTGAAATTAAAACGGCACAACAGTAAATTTAACGGCCAGAGATTTGAGTCAGAAGTTCGTTCTGTTCCAGTGCAGGCCATATCAAAATTCTATCTCACAAATAGATGTGTATGATACTCCCTAGTTGAAGTTGAATATCAAAACAAATTCTGATATGAATGTAGTATGACAAAGCATTTTAACATTGTTTTTACCACATGATGTTTAGACCAATCCCAGAAATTTTATGTCAGATTATTTTTAGTTGGTGACTTGGTTGAGTTTTGCCGAAATTAAAGAAACTCCGCTGAAGTCTAAAACATAAAACATAAAAATTTGAATATCTTACATAGATCAGCTGGATCCCTTAAAACAGAGAGATTTGCAAGAGATAGTAAAAAAATATACTGAAAGTCATATTTTTGTGCTATTCTTTGCCAGATTTGAGTCAAAAACATTGCAACGCTTTTCTTTTTTGGGTCATTATCCACAATTAGAATAAATATTTTGGAATAACATAGTGAGCAAATTTCAATGATCTGAAAGTTTACTTACAACGTATTTGTTTAGATCCAGATCAAATGGAAAATTCGTCTCGAAAAATTATTTTCAGTCCCGTCATGTCAAAGTGTAGTCATTTAATTTCAGTGTTTTTTTAGTTTCCGGTCCGCTGGGAATATTGATACCTATACTAAAGGTTGAATATTGAATATCGCAAGCCGATGCTGTATGGATGAAAAGAAAAGTATAGAAAAGAACATAACTGAGACAGCTACATTCAACCATATGTCTTGTTTTCATTGCTTTCAAGGGATCTTTTTATCTGATAAGTTGTGTTTGTAAGTTCGTTTTTTTAATGTTTTAACAATTTGTTACTGGCATACAGATACAAAATGATAATGATACCTTTTCTTGTAAGGACCCCAGAGAATGGATGGCTTACAATTGGTCTTATTAGAATTTATTCTGAGAAATTTTATGAAAAAGATCGTTTCTTTTTCATGTCCGAAAAAATGTTATGATCATTCAAACTTATGAGATAGAATTGTGTATTTTTTTATTTTCAAAATGAATATGGAATATTATTTTTTCTAATATATTGGTGGTTTTGAACTTCTTTTAGTTATCAGAATGACATACCAAAGAACAAACAATAGGTCATCATTTGCCATTCCTAAGATCATGTGAATCTGATTTTTTTTATTTTTCATCATAATCCATCCGAAATTATATACTTGCACATTGGCGGCGTGAAACGATGTTTCAAGTAGAAACCGGAATTGTATAATAGTGTTTCTTACAAACACCGTGCTTAAGATTAAAATCTGAACTTGTTTTCTAATTTTGTTTTTCTTTAATGCATCCCAAACTATATCAGCTCAACAATGGCGGACACTTGTTGATGCAACTTGCAGAGTATACTGCCATTTTTTCCCTGAAATCCACGACAATCATTAATTTATTTTGGATGTTCTATCCATTTTGGTGATTGGAACAAAGAAGCTGAAAAGTTTAACTTGATAATACTTCCATAACAGCATCTCACGCTGCAAATAGTTCTACAGTGAATGAATGCTTGGGGTTTTATTAGAATTTATATAAATCGATGTCTTTTCTTTCAAAAGCCCTTTTCTAAGGGACTACTTCTGAGTGTTTTTTATATACATTTATACGCATACCATTCTTAAATAGAAATGTTAAATAATTTGCGAAGGGAGACTTTTACACATGATACTGTTGTAACATGTCGGTTATAATATCTTGTCTTTAAATAATACTTCCTCCTTTATTTGATAATGCTTGGCAAATGATCTATTTTTGTTTCACACTGCAAGTTAAATATGAACTGACGATAATAGCCGGGGTTTTCCGATTGTGCGGATTTTCGGAAAATTGTAAACAAATGTTCCCCGGATATATTGATCATTTCATTTTTGAGTAACGTTTATTAAAGTCAAAAATACTGGTTATAATGACAGCATAGTCGTGAAAAATTATAAATCGTATAAGATTAATTTTGACATGGACACTCTTTCTTTTAGGAAGAGGTAGGAAATTTTCTTAACTTAAGGTGATTCCGCTTTGTCACCCATGTTTGTTTTCACAAGGTCTGTCCAAAGTGAAAATAGGCCAAAATTCATATAACAACAAAACTCACATTGTTATATGATGAGCCATTTGCAAGTACACTTCCAGTTCTATGTTTTAAAGACTATTTTAAACAAAAGTAAAATGATAACAATAAAAAGAAATTACCTTGAGTGGGCTAAATTTCTGAAGACCGAAAACATTCTGTTGCAAAGTTTTATGCACATTTCATGAATGGCAAAATTCAGTTTAAAGTCTATTTTAGTGCCAACAAATGCTATTTTTGCAGAAAATAAAAAAACTTTAAAAAACATAAATCTTAGTAAAGTAGTTTATCTGACCTTGAAAAAAAAATGGCCACCATGACATGTGTAAAAAAGTAGTACCATGAAAATAAACATCATTTACCTATTTCTTGTGTACATTACAAACAGACACACTTCACTGTTACACATAAAAAGGTTAGATTTTAAAGTTTGATTGTGTTTTCATTTTAATTGTAGTTCATAAGGTTATAAATGGTGATTGTTTTCTCGCACTACTTTTTTTACAAAAAATAATGGAGGCCATGTGCTTAGAAGGACATGAGATACTGATTTATTTGGAGTTAAGTTTTGAAAGATTTTTGTATTTGCTGCAAAAAATAGCTTTTGTTAGCACTAAAACAGACTTTAAAAAGGATTTTGCCATTCATGAAATGTGCATAAAACTTTGCAACAGAATGTTTTGGTCTTCAGAAATGTAGCACATTCAAGGTAAATATTCTTATTGTTATCATTTTTAATTTTGTATATAATTGTCCTTAAAATATAAACCTGGAAGTGTACTTTCAAATGGTTCATCATTTTACAATCAGAGCTTTGTTGTTATATAAATTTTGGCCTACTTTCACTTTAGACAGACTTTAGTGAAAACAAACATGGCTTACAAAGCGGAATCACCTTAAAAGAAATTCGGATAAAGTAAATCGGATATGTTTGACCTAAAAACATGGACTTCAAAGGGTGGAAAAGAAACAAACATAGACTAGCAATTATGTAAGTTAACTTTCTAGGAAAGATTTACATTTCATTTATCAAATTTTACTAAAAATAATATGATCATTCATATGTGGTGTTGTTTACGGATCAATGTTCTAAAAATAGGTTAGCAGTGGATTTACCAAAAAAGTCAATTTTAGATTATAACCGCGGTGATTTCCTTTGGATTTTTATCAGTTATTTATAATGTAGTATTGAGAAACGTCTTTTTACTACTATCTTTGTTCATAATTGTTTTTATAGGCATTACATTAATTAATTATCGTTTTATGGATAAAAATAGATAACGATGACATTGAAGAAGTTAACAGAGACATATTCAAGAGGTTGTAAGCATTAAAATCAATAATGTCACATATATCAAAGTGCTTAAACGTGTCAGTTTTAACGGTTCTTATTCTAAACACATTCCCTTAATAGTTAACGCAGGAAGCTCAAAGGTTAGTTACAACTTTGCAGGATAATCGAAACAAACTGGCTTATTCAGTAAAAGCTGAGTTAGATGACGCTGCTCTTTTCAAGGAATCATTTCAGAACATTGTAGGTCTTGCAAAAGAGGTGACAACAATTAAAGAGTATGCATTTGCGTTAATCAAAAGCATAAACGAACTGAAAAACAGATAACTTGCCAACTTTTGCAGCAATTTAAAACGCTTTAAGATTAACAATGAATATTTCCTAATTAAGCTTGTTGAGTCGCAAGGATCAGAGAGGGGTAAGTATGTATTTAAAATACAAAATAAGCAACATTATCCATGAACCTATAAGTTTTGTGAACGGATTTCTATAACGGTCTGCTGGTTTCACGATTTTCAATATACCTTGTTTATATTTGGAAAGCTATAAGCAATTGTATAAACTATGGTAAAATGTAGCGTGTAGAGGTAATATATTATGTAATTGACAGGCACAAAATTGGATTCTAAGAAAATAAAGATACTGCATATAAATCTGTCATAGATGCAAATTCTGAATCAGATAACATGATTCGCGTAATCTCAGGATTTTTGCGCTACTTTAGATTTACTGGACCACGGCTTTGTCTTGTTTGAAAAGTTTGTTTGAGTTCATATATGTCTCTAACTTTAGGTAAGGCATGTAAAATGAATCGCATTTTAGGAAAAACAATGTATTCATATTATTAATTCTGAATGATTAAGCGAAAAACGATTCTTTCCGGTGTAATTGTTCAAAGTCATATACATGTATTTCCAGTTAATGCAGACGGAACAATTCAGATAAAAATCGGCTTGACGAAATGGGTGAGGCAACTATCAAAGGGTTTAGATGTTGGTATTTTTATCCGTACGATGAAGGACGAAGAAGTTATAAACGATACAATGAAACGCAAAATTCAGCAAGAATACACGTGCGAAGAACAAATGCGTGCCCTTATCTTACACATGATAATGAAACAAAATTCTACCTGTGAAAAATGTGTCGATGTTTGAGAAATTTATCACCACAACTCGCCGATCTGATAGAAGACAATAACACAGATGGAACTGAAGTTGGTAGGGTAAACTTTTAAAATGCTCACGCTTTCTTACTCCTTAAATCTAAATTAAAACTTTAAAAAAAAGAAGTATAATTTTTATATTGTTGATTTTGTAAAAAGTTCATCTTTTATATATATGGAACCAGTTATGATGAGTTAATTTTATTCCACAGAAAAGTACCTGAAACAATATGAAGAAGAAAATGTGATTCGGATCTTAAAAGAAATTTTTACAGAAGATATTGATAGTTCTGTGTCAACTGACCAAGTTCATATTTGTTTAGAACAGAGGATGGATGTGACACTAGATTTAAAGATGATAAGTAACTGCGTTTTGAAATGTTTTACGACTGCAAGGCACCAAGAGAATGATAATAGGTGAACATTTTATTATAAGTGTCGTGTGAAAATAATAAGTAGATTAGAAATTGTTTCTTTGATTATTACATTGTTTCTTTGCAATAGCCTTTACTAAAATAGACAACAATAAAAAGAATCCTTAAAGAAGGACCAAAACGACTTAATTGAATATGTTGTAGGCTCGTTTTATATTGAGCCTGTTAATGGACGGTACTTGATAGTGCAAACCACAGTATAGGTACCCAGCACCGGAAATCAATATTTAGTATAAACATGGTGAAATTTTGAATTGGGAAACATCCGCAGATGTGTTCATACAGAGGTTATCATTGAACTTTAAATGTGACACATTCTTACCTTCCATTCCATGAAAAGTGACGTATGGTCCCTAAATAAAAATGCATGTGCCCCTAACGAGCAAACAATAGGCGAAACTAAATAAAAAAGAAATTTTGAACTAACAATTCACACTGAATTTAACACAGCAAATAATAATAAAAATGTGTCTTCTGTCACTTTAAAGGTAACTCGAGTGCTACTCTATAGTAAATATATAATTAAGATTTTAAGATATTTATAGTCATATGGGAAAAAAGAAATAGATTAAATTTTGTTATATAAAATGTAATGATATAAAATCTTATCTTTAAAGCTTTGCCGGATTAACATGGAAGACAGAAGAATGCAAAGTCGGAACGATGATACAAAGAGGTAAGCACGAAATTTGTAGATTAAGTACGGTTTCCTCCCAAGTTTGATAAATCTAAGACATGGTTTTAGAAAGTGATATGTTTGATCATAGAAACGCCTAATCTATTTAAAAGTAATATAAGATGAAACCACTCACACTTTAAAATAACGGCCCGTCCGTTCTTTGCTCTTATGCCTTCTCCTGTTTTTGTTTTGTGTCCTGCTTGGCCCCATTGCCAGTGTCGTGTGTAGCTTGGTTTTGTATGCAGATGCGTTCACTGACTGCCAGCTTTCCTCGATGATCTTTTATTTTCAAATTTCATGTAGACAATTTTCAAATGCGTCTGAAATAACCGAAAAAGTAAATTATAATCTATTTGATATTTTTAGAATCTAGAAAAGAGACAGTAATTCTGGTATGGCATGCGAAGAGTTTGCAAATTTTGTCGCTGAAACCTTATCAAGGATAAATTTGTCTTTATACGAACCTTTCAAAAAGGCATTTGTTGATGAAAGTATATCGCCACGAGCATTTGTTGATATGACAAAAGAAGAAATGAAAGGTATATTTGAGTTATACCTAGTACCTATTAAATTTGGTATTGGTTTACGAAAGGAATTGATTTCAATTCAACAACAAATTAGAAATGAAAAAGACACAAACAATTCCGAAAATATTGGTTCTTTGCGACAATTTGATACATCGTGTGGAAAATTGACTTACAGCAAATGCCATGTCCGACCTATGACGGGTAATCTTCTTGTTCCCAAACATGAATTTAGATGGCTTTCTACTAACAATATGTATTCGCCATACTATGTTGCAAAAGAAATAATGAGGTTTATAGTTGCTTGCATCAATGGACGTAAGAACGGGACAATACATTTTGGAATTAAACCCACATTATGCCAGACAGGTCTTGTAGTCGGGTTAGTAGCGAATGATAAATATGTTGACCGTTTGAATCATGAAATAGCTATATCAGTTGAAGCATGTTTCTTCTTCTATAGCATTCAGATGTTTGCGTTCATTACAAATAGTTCCAGTAGAAGACGACGATCGAGTTGTAATTAAAGCTGATGTTGTTCCATCATATTGGCCCTAAGTTGCTTTCTATTGATTTTCCCCCAAAGGGATTTCAACATAGTCAGTGCTTTGTTTATGATATCAAGCCAGATTGCCAAATATTACCGATTGCTCCAAGTAAGTTGCAGCAAGTTGAAGAAATGTATTCCAAAATTTTGAAGGAGCGGGTTGTTATGGAAGAGGAAAATGATAGAAAAGGAAACAAACAAATTGTTTTGTAGAAAGAACTGGTAAAATGCCTACTGGTAGAAATAAATACATCACAGACGAATTCATCCCAATAATTGTTTCAGGTAAGATAACTGGGTCATCAGATGAAAATTATTTAAGAAGCGCAGTTGACATGACACGTGCGTTTACTTCAGCAAAATTAGTATTAGACTGTGATAGTTCTGTCAAGCTACGTAATAGAGTTGAGGGTGACAAAATGCTTTACACTGTAAAAACAGCAGAGGACCTAATTTATCAAGCTGATATTTCTCATAGAAGCCCAACATGGGTATATTGCAATGGAAATGAAGAATTGTCGAAAGAAACTATGACTTTGGAAGACTGGTTAGAAGCAAGGTCTGATAGGGCTCAAAATGCACTGGACGTTATGAAAAAACTTATTCCTAAGACAAGGGCGAAATTAGTTTTTCTATTGTTCCAAGAAAATGACGGTAAAAGGAATCAATTGCATGAAATTGCAAGAATGGCATTTGTTTCCTCTTTCAGAAACCAGTGTATAGTCATCGCTGAAAATAAGGATGTTGTCGCAAATTTAAAAAAGAGTTAATGGACACAATAGGTGCAAAAAAGATTGAGAAATCATTCCACACAGACTTGTCCTGGGATCAGATTTCAAATGTGATGAATAGTGTTTCTAGAAGAAATCCCGATGTTGTTTGTAAATTACCACGATATGACGGGCACTATGCAGAAATGACAAATAGGGAGAGAGAGAAAGGTTTACAAAAACGAGGCACAGGAACGATTTTATCGGGGTGGTGAAGTCACTTGGTGGAACTTTAATTACCAGTCTCATGTTGCAAAAAGAGATCTCTTTGACCGTCATAAAACTGAGATAAATGATAAACTTCTTGGGAATAAAGGAGAAGCGTTGATTGAAATCCATGATATTGAGCACCATCCCGGTGCTGGTGGAAGAACACTTGGTAGGCATTTACTTTGGTACTATAGTCAATTCAAACAAACCCTAGAAAAGGCTTATCGTTGCTGTGCAATCAGAAATACAAGTATCACCGAGGAAACTATTAATCAGATAGAACGGTTTCGGAATTTCAAAGATGGAGAATGTCCAAAAGCACTGATAATATTAACTGACAATAAAAGTGAGGATAGAATCATTTTGTTAAAGACAAAACTGCATGAGCTTGCCTACAAAACTGGATCTCCTGGTAGACTGTTTTGTTTGATAATTATTGTTGGCAGAATGCCAATAACACATGCCAAAACAGAAGGAAAGCTTTTGTTGAAACATACACTGAGCACTTCTGAACAAAACTGGTTTGAGTCTAAGCACAATGAAATGGAACAGTCAGAAAACATAGATGTCAAGACTTTACTTGCTTTTAACTGTATGAGAAAATCGTTCGATATATCATGCATGAAGAAAACAATCGACAGAATTATAAAAAGGGTATCAAAAAGAGAAGTAAATGTACTGAAATCTCTTGCATTGATAAGCTCTTTCGAAAGCGACCATCCCGTACCAGAAAATGTATTCGATTACATGATGAATGATCAAATTGATCTTGAAATGGTATTTCGACAACCCTGGGGTATAGCTCATTCTATACCAGAATTACAAAACCTTAGACAATTACGAAATGAAACATGGAACATGTATATGTCAGATGCAATGAGTCTTTTGATTACAAAGAAAGAAGATTGTGATTTTTACAACAGTGGTGTTTGCTTCATATCACAGATGCTTGCAAAAACTGTGCTCGAATACATAAAAATTCATGAAAATTTAACACTGGAGAATGTTGTCAATAGTTTGCTAGATTTAGTAGAACAACAAATGAAAGAATCAAATCCAATGTCTAAGCGTTTCGTAAAAATTGTTTGCAGTCTTTCCAAAACAAGACAGCTCTTGGAAAGTGAAAGGGGCGACTTGAAAGAGAAATTTTCTGACTTGGTCTTAGAACTAGATCACGAAGAAGAAAATAACACTGAGCAAGAGAACAGTCACAGAGTACTGCGGGTGATGCAGCGTTGTTTTACCATAACATATGATGCAATGGTTGGTCAGCAGTTAGCTAGAATCAACATTCACATAAGAGAATTCACAGACGCAGAGGCTGCTATTAAACTTTCCCTGGAGAAGCGACCAAACAGTTCTTATTTGCTTGATACGTATGGGCAAATATTCAAGTCACAAATGGAGTTCCTCATAGAAAATGCCACAATAAATAAGGAAAAGATAACTAACGGTGATGGTGCGAAAATTATTAATCTTGCTTTCCAAGCAATGTAAAAATTTAAGGAAGGTCAGGATATTGCTGTTTCACAAGAAGAAGATACAAACTTGGGTTGTTTTCATACAGAAAATAAAAACGGCACTTTTTCTACTTGAGAAGTTTGAAAGGTTCGAGTGTTACACTAGCCGTGAAGAATTTTTGAGCTTTTTGAATGTATAGAATTTTGAACTTTACCATTCTCCATTGTTAGAACTAATGGAATCATGCCCTTCACTGCAAAATCTAAAACCAGACACACCCTCTCAAAGTCACTTAGAAACGTCACTGAGAAGAGAAATTACCAAGTCAAAAGGCAGTTGTACACTATAAATTCTGAAGATGAAACACTTTTGTTGAGACTTAGAGAAAGATTTGAAGGATTTTACGGCAGTCGGGATAAAACATCAAAATTTCAATTCACATATGGAATCGGTTTAAAACCACTTATGGTGGCCAAGGAGAAAAAGCCAAGATTGGTAAAACAGCGTGTGGAAGAAGCAAAGCACAATCTCGAGGGTCATGATATTGAAACAGTAGATGAAAGAGATCTGCTTGTTTATCATGGTAACAAAATTATAAACCTTTCTAGTCAAGTTGGGAGTAAAGAAACAGATACATGTAATGGACACGAGTATAAACGGCTTCTGTCCTACAGTACAAAGCTGGTTTCTATTCAAACAACATCTCCGAGATCTAAGAGACTCTATCTTGAATCATTTCTATATTATGCAATGCTACATTGGCCTTTGAAGACTAGAACAAGCTTAGACTTAGATGTTCTTGCTACGAGGAGCTACGAGCAACTTATCAAAGATTGGGAGGAAGCGTACAATGCAAACTTCTACATTAAGAGTTCTGAGCAGTGCCGCAAAAACAGACCAAAGAACTATTTTGCCTTAGGAAAAGGTAGCCCAGGTAATGATATTGTTGATTAAGATTCAATTAGGAAGGAGTGGATGAACAGAAGAAGAAAGCATCGGGTCGTGTCCGGAGACCAGTATATGCAGATTTCTTTTGTAGAGAAAGATTTGTAGAAGATAGACTAGAACGATTAGACGAAACAGTCGATGGCACAGGACATGTTGTGATTCACAAGATACTATATTAGATATAATTCATATCCCATTGTTTTAGAATAATTTCATTATTTTATTAAATAGAACAATTAAAAAAATTTTATGAGCAAAATATTTTTTACATTTGCTTTAATCTTGTAAAATGCTTTATGTACAAAAAAACTCTTTAGATATCAATGTTGATGAAACTATATAACAGGCTGAATATCCCACTGGAACGCACACATTCAGGATTAACACCTACTACCCTTGTACAGTATTGAGTAATAGAGTGGTCACGTTTGTTCTTGGCTTTACATGGAAAGGTCCAACAGCGTTTGATGTAGAAGAAAAAGGTATGCCAATTTTGGAAAAACTGAAAATAAGAAGATATGCTTCAATTGAAGTTTCAAAAGATGTTTCATATGCTATTTATACATTTTGTATTTCAATGTTTTTATGTTTGCTTTTTTAAATACTTGTACTTCCTAGTACGACTGGTACAGTTATTTTTCAGGTAAATTATATGGCTGATAGCTTAAATACTCGTAATTTTCAGCCATTCCTTTGGAAATACATTGTTTCTTTGAAGAATCAAAATAAGTGCACTTTGAAAATTATCTAACATGTTTTATTTTGCATATCGTTATAGGAAAAACATCCTCTCGCAGTTCGCCTGTTTGTGACGGCGGACCAAGTAGTCTAAACTCGGAGTATGAGGCCGACACTATGACAAGTGATGCTAAAAATGATATGGGAAAGGCGGCTGGCGTTAAAACTGACTTACATACGCAACCAATATCTGCGAATTCATTTCCCAAAGAAGCTGCATCAGAAAGTTGTCAGTCTCATCTGGCATCTGGGGGTCAAGGTGAAATTGTCTTTAAAAAGTTTTTTTTCTCTTCATTTAAGGTATTTTTTATGCTCTTCTGTATAAATGTATGCTTCGTCATTTTGTTTTCGAAAACAAATGTGGTTAATAAGGTTTACTCTTAAATATCAAGTAAGCGATGGGTAAAAGTGTGCAGCAGCCTGCCAAAATGACAGATAAATGTGAACATCCGTCTGAAAAGGCGCCAGAGGAAAAACCGTAACAATAAAATATGAAAATCTGAGCATAGTAAAAGGCTTTCCAGTAAAAGGCTTTTTTTTTAAATTTTAATTTTTAACCTTTTAAATTTTGCTTTGCTTTGGGGGTTATTTGGCGGCCGAAAAACCAAAAATTGGCCTTTAAACTAAAAATCGTTTTTGTTAAAATTAAAAAAGCTGTTTTATAGTTTAAAAAAAAAATTGTTTTTAAAAGAGAATAATTTTAAAAGAAGAATTTTATTTGGGGAAATTTGGAAAAATTTTGGGGTTATTAAAATGAAAATGAGGGGGCCCAAAAAGGGTTATTTTAATTTGGTTTATTTCCCAAAATTAATTGTTTATTTGGGATTATTTTTGAATTTTTAAACCTAACTGTTGACAATTTTTTAAAAAAACCAAAAAAATTTTGTAAAATTTAAAAAATGATTAAGGGAAAGCTTCTTTCTTGAATTCCTTTGTTTTTAAGTAAATTAAAGAGGGCCCAAGAGTTATTTTTTGAAATTTCTTAGGGTTTATAAAATTTTTTAAATTTAAAACAAAATTTAATTTAAAATTTCCAAAAATAAATTAAAAAAATTTTTTTTTGGGAAATTGTTTTAAAACCAATATTTTAAGAAAAGGGGAATATTTAAAATTTTAAAACCAATTTTTAAGATATTTTAAAAATTTGGGTGTGAAAATTGTTGTTCTTAATTTTTATAATATTTTTTATATTTTCAACAAATTTCTAGGAAAATTACATATAATCATTAATGATGCTAAATTGAGATCATATAAATTACTGCAAAAGTAGTTCATAATATTTAGATTTTGTAGTCTCTTAAGATGTTTTAATCTCTAAATTGTAATGTAACCGATATCTCGCTAAAACCGATCTCGTTATAAAACGATAAAAAATGAAAGGAAAATAGAAGGAAAAAGGCCGGGACACAGTAGAATGTACGTTGTAAGCGGTATCTCGTTAAAACCGATCTCGTTATAAGTGAAGTAGACTGTATCTATGTACAATATAATGTTATTACCGGTATTTCATTTTTTATTGTTGATTTTATATATCTATAGAATGTAAATATTTATACAGATGTTGAGTTTTATCAATTCACCATTGCTCGAGAGACGATAATTTGTATTTCTGGTGTATTTCTGCTGTTTTCTGTGTATCATTTAACATTGTTCCATTTATTTGATTATCGTTGTACTATAATATTTATAAAAATATATAGTTATATATATATTCATTTATTTTACATGAAGTAACGCTTCTAAGTTCCTTGTTTTAAGAATCATAAAGCATGTCATGGCAGCTAATTTGAAATTAAACATATTTTTATTACACTATTCAAATAAAAAAAAATGTTTTAAATAGTTTTCATTTACTTCACAAGTGCATTAACTTTAATTAACTTGTATAAAATAGTTTTCATTTACTTCAAAGGTGCATGCATTATGACTTGATATGCGTCACAAGGAAACAAAAAAAATGTGTTTCATTTTCAACATGTGTCTAACATATTCGGCACGTTTTTTCCTATATATACCGGTTTATACATGTTTTATATAAAAACTGTGATAACATGATTATATGTAATTTATTAAATCAATTTTTGTTTGTGTATTTTTATGCTATATTCCAATGTCTTCAAATTTTTTGATTATTTTATCGTATGTTTCATGAAACTGATATGCTGTGTACAAAAATAAACTATACAAAAATGGCAAAGTAATATTTTATCAAAACCTTTTGGCATCCTGTATTTACTTAATTATTTAAGTTTACATTAAATGTTTGTATAATAAAGCAATGTCCGTAAAAGTGCACGTAGAATTACATGCACGACCGTTTAACACCAATTTTACGGAGTCGCAAAAGCGGCACGGGTGTAGAACCCTTTTAGCTTATTATGTTGTAAATGATTGTCAGGTTCTATGTCAACTATTTCATCATCTGAAACATCTAGCATGTGAAAAGTAGGTATTTTCTTTTAAAGACAAATTATAGACATTTTCCCTTGTTTTATAGCATTTTTTTGGGAAAAAATTTTTTTTTTTTTTTAATTTTTTTAAAAAATTTTTTTTTTTTTTTTTTTTTTTTAAAAAAAAACAAATTTTTTTTTAATTTTTTTTTTTAAAAAAAAAATTTTTTTGTTTTTTTTAAATTTTTTTTTTTTTAATTTTTTTTTAAAAAAAATTAATTTAAAATTTTTAAAAAAAAACAAAAAAACCCCCAAAATTTTTTTAAAAAAAAATTTTTTTTTTTTTTTAAAAAAAATTAAAAAAAAAAAAAAAAAAAATTAAATTTAAAAAGGTTTTTGTTTTTTTTTTTTTTTTCCCCCAAATTTTTTAAAAAATTTTTTTTTTTTTCTTTAAAAAATTTTTTAAAATTTTTAAAAAAAAGGAAAAACCCTTTTTTTTTTTTTTTTTTTTTTTTTTTTTTTTTAAATTTTTTTTTAAAATTTTTGGTTTTTTTTCCCTTTTAAATTCCCCTTTTAAAAAATTTTTTTTTTTTAAATTTTTTTCTTTTTTTGGGTTTTTTTTTAATTTTTTTCCCCCTTTTTTTTAAAAAATTTTTTTTAAAAAAAAAAAAAAAAGGGTTTTTTTAAAAAAATTTTTTTTTTTTCAAATTTTTAAAAAACCTTTTTTTCCCCCAAAAAAAAAAAAGGGGTTTTTTTGGGGGCCCCCCCCAAAAAATTTTTAAAATTTTTTTAAAAAAACCCCCTTTTTTTTTTCCCCAAAAAAGGGGGGGGTTTTTTTTTGTTTTTTTTAAAAAAAAAAAAAATTTTTATTTTTTTCCGGAAATTTTTTTTCCCCCCAAAAAAAAATTTTTTTTTTTTTAAAAAAAAAAAAAGAAAAAAAAATTTTTTTTTAAAAAAAAGGGGTTTTTTTTTAAGGAAAAATTTAAAAAATTTAAATTTTTTTAAAAAAAAAAGGGAAAATTAAAAAAAGGGAAAATTAAATTAAAAAAAATGGGTTTTTTCCCAAAAAAAAATTTTTTTTTTTTTGAAAAGGGGTTTTTTTTCCAGGAAAAAATTTCCAATTTTTTAAAAAAAAAAAAAACCCCCCAAAAAATTTTTTTTAAAAAAAAAAAATTTAATTTTTTTTTTTTTTTTCCCCGGGGGGAAAAAAAAATTTTTTTGGGGGGGTTTTTAATTTTGGGCCCAAATTTTTTAAAAAAAAAATTTAAAATTTAAAAAACCTTTTTAAAAAAAATAAAAAAAAAAAAAAAAATTTTAAAAAAAAAAAAAAAAAATTTAATTTTTTTTTTTTTTTTTTTTTTAAAAATTTTTTTTTTCCAAAAAAAAGGGGGAAAAAAAAAAAATTTAAAAATTTTTTTAAAAAGGGGGGCCCCTTTTTTTTTTTTAAAAAGAAATTTAAAAATTTTTTTAAAACCCCCCTTGGGCCCCTTAAATTTTTTAAAACCGGGGGGGTTTTTTAAAAAAAAAAATATAAAAAATTTTTTAAAAAAAAAAAAATTAAAAAGGGGAAAAAAAAAAAAAAAGGGGCCCCTTTTTTTTTAAAAAAAATTTTTAAAAAAAAAAATTAAAAATTTTTAAAAAAAAAGAAAAAAAAATTGGGGGTTTTAAAAAAAAAAATTTTTTTTTTTTTTTAAAAAAAGGTTTTTATTAAAAAAAAAAACCCCAAAAAAAATTTTTTCCCAAAATTTTTAGGGGTTTAAAAAAAATTTTTTGGGGTTTTTAAAAGGTTTTAAAAAATTTTAAATTTTTTTAAATTTAAAAAATTAAAAAAGGGAAAAAAAAAAAAAATTTTTTTTTTTTAAAACCGGCCCGAAAAAAAAAAAAAATTTTTTGTTTAAAAAAAAAATTTTTTCAAAAAATTTTTTTAAAAAAACCCTTTTTTAAACCTTTTAAAAAAAAAAAAAAAAAATTTTAAAAAAAACCCCCCCCGGGGTTTTTTCCTTAAAAAAAAAAAAAAAAAAAATTTAAATTGAAATTTTTTCCCCCCAAAAAAAAAACCCCCCGGGGAAAAAATTTTCCCCCCCCCTTTTTCCCAAAAAAGGAAAATTTTTAAAAAAAAAAAAAAGGGGGAAAAAAAAAAAAAATTTTTTTTTTTTTTTTTAAAAAAAATTTTTTTTAAAAAAATTTTTTTAAAAAATTTTTTTTATTTTGGGGGGGTTTTCCCCCCGGGGAAAAAAGGGGGGGTTTTTAAAAAAAAAAAAAATTTTTTTTAAAAAATTTTTTCCCAAAACAAAAAAGGGGCCCGGTTTTAAAAAAAATTTTTTTAAAAAAAAAGAATTTTTTTTTTTTTTTAAAAAAAAAATTTTTTAAAAAAAAATTTTTTAAAAAAAAAAGGGGGGGGTTTTTTTAAAAGTAATTTCCTTTTTTAAATTTTTTTTTTAAAAAAAAAAAAAGGGTTTTAAAAAGGGGGGAAATTGGGGTTTAAAAAAAAAATTTTAAAAATTTTTTTTTTAAAAAAAAAATTTTTTTTTTTTCCCAAAAAAAAAATTTTTTTATTTAAACCCCTTAAATTTTTAAAAAAAAATTTTTTTTAAAAAAAATTTAAAAAAATTTAAAAAACCCCCCCTTTTTTTTCCCAAGTGTTAAAAAAAACCTTTTAAAAAAAAAAAAAAAAATTATTTTTTTTTATTTTTGGGGAAAAAAAGGAAAGGGGAAAAAAGGTTTTTTTTAAAAAACCCAAAAAAACCCCCAAAAAAAAATTTTTTTTTTTTAAAGGGGGGGGGCCCCCCCCAAAAATTTTTTTTAAAAAAGTTTAAAAAATTTAAATTTTTTTAAAAAAAAATTTGGGAAAAAATTTCCCAACATTTTTAAAAATTTAAATTTTTTTCAAAAAAAGGGGGGGGGTTTTAAAAAAAACGGGGCCCTTTAAAAAAAATTTTTGGGGCATTTTTTAAAAAAAGGGGGTTTTTTGGGGGGAAAAATTTTTTTTTTAAAAAAAACCTTTTTTAAAAAAAATTTTTTAAAAAGGGGAAAAATTTTTTTAAAAAAAAAAAAGGGGTTAAAAATTTTTTTTTTTATAAAAATAAAAGTTTTTAAAAAAAAA